TTAGTGCTGACTTTTAGTTGACCAGATTCTTCTATATAGGCATGAGCAATAAATCAGCTTATCTGGAGCCTAATGCAGTGGGGGGGGGGATTCAAATATCTGAACAACCGGTTCTCTGCATGGATGCAGGCCTGGGCCTCCGAGGCCTAGAACAGACTTCCGGAAGTGAAATCCATGCACTTCCTGTGGGCGATTCTAGGCCTGGAAGGCCTCCTTCAGGCCTCCGAGGTCTAGAATGGACTTCCAGAAGCAGCGTGGGGTTTAGCTGGTTCTCCGAACTCAACAAAATTTAACTACCTGTTCTGCCAAACCCATGCGAACCAGCTGAATCCCACCACTGGCTTAATGCATGGTGCTGATTCTTCACACCTGATACCAATAGTTTAATTTAAAGCAGAGATAAATAACATTTGGGTGGGCTACATGTTGTGTTTAACATTTTTGGAGTGGAATGAAGTGTGGATTAAAATGATTTTTTCACTTATTTTTATTCTTTAAATATTTATTTATTTATTTATTGAATTTATATACCGCCCTATCTCCCTTGCGGGACTCAGGGCGGTGAACAGGCGATAATAAAAACCACGATAAATATACATAAATTTCTGTTCTAAAATCAAATTAAATAACAGGCCTGCTCTAAAAATACCCCATGCCAAACCCCCACTAAAACATAATCAAACTACGCCAGGCTGGCCGCACGGAATAGATGGGCCTTCAGGGCTCGGCGAAAAAGGCGCAGGTCCGCAACTGTACGTAGGTCGGGGGGTAGGTCATTCCAGAGGGCAGGAGCCGCCACAGAGAAGGCTCTCCCCCTGGGGGTCGCCAGCCGGCATTGTCTGGCCGACGGCACCCTAAGGAGGCCCTCTCTCTGGGAGCGGACTGGTCTACGGTAGGGCTTCTAGAACAATGTTGAAATAATTTCTACCCCAAATGGTAGAACGGTTCAGGTTCAGCTGTAGGGAGCTTCTGTGGAACTTCCTCTTTGTCCCCTCTTCAGTTTACTCTTATTAAATCAGACCAAATAGGTGCCCATTGTGTCAAATTTTCCAAAAATTTCTGCCGTTAAACACTCAATGAATCTTATATTATGGAATGTGGAGCTTGATGGTGACTATCTCAAGAGCAAGCCTCAGAGAAAAGAAGTACAAAGTCTCTTTAGCATCTCTCACTTCGATCCGTCTACCCAACAGATCTTCAAGGCATCATTCATCACTCACCATCATTCCCTTGTTTGCCCACAGCCATGTAGTGAAGATGGAAAGAGGAGAACTTCACATGTTCTGTGGAAGCTCTACCCTGAACCAGTTGTTCTCCCCTACATGTAAAACCAAAATTGAATCACTAGGGACCTCCTCTGTTTAAACAAAGGAGAAATAAGGGTTGACGCAAGGGGTCCTTGGTGCTCTCTGAGCTTCCTCGTTTTCTTGCAGACATTTCATTACCCAAACTAGATAACATCATCATTGGGTAATAAAACATCTGCAAGGAAACAGCCAAGCTCAGAGAGCACCAAGGACCCCTTCTCTCTTCCTTGAACCCTCTTGCACCAGTTCTTCCTTAGAAAAAATAAAGAACATTCATATTTGATATGGAGGAGGAAGAGGGGAGGAGGAGNGGAGGAGGAGGAGGAGGAGGAGGAGGAGGAGGAGATGAGATATGGAAAGAAGACACTGAAAATTACATACAGGCTCTCCTGGAAAGTTGTCGCTGCACATTTTTGATGTTCTGCATAAAAGAAGGCCTCCGAAAATCTCTTTACCTAGTGGAGAAATATACGGCAATGGATATCATCATCATCAAAGCAAGCTGTCCTGCCTCATGAAACTCATCTGCCTAGAATCAGAGTCAAACATTGTTGTTCATTTTTGTAAGCTTCTTTCTTTTTGTTCGGACAAGTGAATCTCAAAATCTTGCTCTTTTTTTTTAGCTAAACCCATATTGATATTCAGTGAATATAAGCTATGAATGCTGGGGCTATTCCTAATTCAAAAACAGTTCACAAGCAGCTTTGCAGACTCCCTGACCGTTAGAACAATCAACCTGTGGAACGGCTTGCCTCCAGAAGTTGTGGGTGCTCCATCACTGGAGGTTTTTAAGAAGTGATTGGACAACCATTTGTCTGAAATCCTATAGGGTTTCCTGCCTGAGCAGGGGGTTGGACTAGACGACCTCCAAGGTCCCTTCCAACTCTGTTGTTCTGTTCTATTCTGTTCAAAAGTGTGCAAAAGTGTGTTTCTGTTGTGGGCCATGATGCCTCCTATCCTCCCACACAAACCACTACCCTCACTACCCTCTTGCTACCTTCCTCATGGTCTCCTCTGGTTATTGACGTGCCTCACTTCTGCCTAATCTTTATTTACTTGCTTGCCAAGGCTAAAAAAAAAGTTTGTTATTGAGTTATTAGAGAAAGCAAAGAATTTCTATTTTTGTTTCATTCCCTCATGAAAGTTATGTTTGTGATTTTTTTTTCAGTCAGTCAAGAGAGCTAAGATTCTTAAGAAAAGAGTCTCTGTGCCCATCTGTCTTATTGATTTTAAAATCATAAAATAAACAAAGTAACTTAGATAAATTCTGTTATTCTGATGGAATCAGTCTTTAACCCAACTTGAGTTCAAAAGAATACTGAATAAATTAACCACATAGGTGCTACAAAGGGTAAACATTTTGTCCCTTTTTAATTTTTTTTTAAAAACTATTTTGATGAAAGTTGTCACCCCTTTAAACTTTGCACAACTGAATTTTTCCAGTTGACATTGAAACAATAGAACAATTTCTGTTAAACCATGTATTTGATTAAGGATAATAATAATAATAATAATAATAATAATAATAATAATAATAATAATAATAATAATAATAATAATAATAATAATAATAATAATAATAATAATAATAATAATGGTAAAGTTGGAAGGGATCTTGGAGGTCATCTATTCCAACCCCCTGCTCAGGCAGGAAACCCTATACCATTTCGGACAAATGGCTGTCCAGTCTCTTCTTAAAAACTTCCAGTGTTGGAGCATTCACCGTGGTTGTTCCATTGGTTAATTGTTCTAACTGTCAGGAAATTTCTCCTTAGTTCTAGGTTGCTTCACTCTTTGATTAGTTTCCATCCGTGGCTTCTTGTCCTGCCTTCAGGCGCTTTGGAGAATAGCTTGACTCCCTCTTCTTTATGGCAGCCCCTGAGATATTGGAAGGCTGCTATCATGTCCCCTCTAGTCCTTCTCTTCATTAAACTAGACATACCCAATTCCAGCAGCTGTTCCTTATATGTTTTAGCCTCCAGTCCCCTAATCATCTTTGTTGCTCTTCTCTGCACTCTTTCTAGAGTCTGAACAACTTTTTTACATCGTGGTGACCAAAACTGGATGCAGTATTCCAAGTGTGGCCTTACCAAGGCATTGTAAAGTGGTATTAATATATCCTAATCAATTTTAATGATCAATAACAGAAGGAGCAAGGCTCTATATAAGACATCTAAAGGAAATTGACTCTCAACTTTGTATCATAAAGCAATCCCATAATAGCCTCAAAATTAACCCCATACACTTCAACCGATCACATATCACTTTCTTCTTCTAGGTTGGGCACATCAGTGTTCTGCAACTTACCCTTAGAGTGTGATGCTCTTGAACAAGGTATGTTGTGACGTCAGGATGCAGGGTTATAATTGCCAAAAACTGGGTCCACAGGGCTAAAAGGTGGGAGCAGAGCCATCCAAGGTCTTTGCTGATCTGCTCTGCTATCTTTTCTGAGTTATTCAGCATCTAGAAGGATGAAAGACAATGTGAAGAACAGCCATTGACAAAGATGTGACAAGCTCAGGATTAAAAAAGGATCTTGACAGACTTGAACAATGGGCCCTATCCAACAAAATGAAATTTAATGTGGAGAAAAGCCAGATTTTACGCCTAGGCAGGAAAAACCAAAGGCACAAGTACAGATTAGGGCAAAACATGGCTGAAAAACAGTAACTATGAGGAGGACCTTGGAGTCCTAGCGGACGATCGCTTGACCATGAGCCAGCAGTGTGCAGCAGCAGCAGCCACCCAAAAAAGCTAATACAATCCTGGGTTGTATAAACAGAAGCATGGAATAAAAATCACATGAAGTATTAGTACCGCTTTATAAAATCTCAGTAAGACCACACCTTAGTACCAGAGGGAAAGACAAGAACAAATGGATGGAAACTAATCAAGACGAGAAGAAACCTGGAATTAAGGAAAAACTTCCTAACACTGAGAACAATTAACCAACAATTACTGTTTTTGAGCCAGATTTCACCTAATCTGTCATTCTCCATCCACTACTCCATTTATTAAGAACACAACTTCACCTTCTTTCTTTCTTTCTTTCTTTCTTTCTTTCTTTCTTTCTTTCTTTCTTTCTTGCCATTTATGTTCCACATGCATTCAGCTTTTCACTCTATTTTCTCTGAAAATAAAACTTCCTTTGTCTCTGAATTTTCAGATTCATACACTTTCCTGCTTCATTTAAATTAAGACAAATTGCAAAGCTCCTGGGTACTTGGCTAACAACAGAGCGTTATTTGCACACAGCAGGACAACAGGACAAACAGATCTGTATTTGTAAATGTCTCTTAATATCTCCAAAAGCATTCATTATGTTTATCCATTATTAAACCATAAAATAACCAGAGGGCATTATAATTCTGTTCTGACATCTTGCTCCATGTTCTATTATTTGTTAAGCATTTTATTTCTTTTAGCCCCACTTACTTCTCTCAAATGTTTAACAAATGTTTAATGCCATAGTTATGCAGAACATCCCATAACTGAATTTTATTCCCTTTATCTTTATCAATCCCTTTTCTGAGAATCAATAAGAATTCTATTCTGAATAGAATAGAATAGAATAGAATAGAATAGAATAGAATAGAATAGAATAGAATAGAGCTGGAAGGGACCTTGGAGGTCTTCTAATCCAGCCCCCTGCTCAAGCAGGAGAACCTACACTATGTCAGACAGGTGATTGTCCAGTCTCTTCTTAAAGATATCCAGTGATGGAGCACCCACAATTTCTGGAGGCAAGCTGTTCCACTGGTTAATTGTCCTCACTGTCAGGAAGTTTCTCCTTAATTCTAGATTGCTTCTCTCTTTGATCAGTTTCCAACCATTGTTTCTTGTTCTGCCCTCTGGTGCTTTGGAGAATAACGTGACCCCCCTCATCTTTGTGGCAGCCCCTCAATACTGGAACACTGCTATCATGTTTCCCCTATTTCTTCTTTTCTTTAGACTAACCAAACCCAAGCCCCGCAGCTGTTCTTCGTATCTTTTAGTCTCCAGGCCTTTGATCATCTTAGTTGCTCTTCTCTGAATTTTTTCCAAACTCTCAACAATAACTGAACAGGTTATTTTTTCTTCACATTCATTCATTTCTCATTCATTTTGCTCTGAAGAGGTTTGCAAAGCATAAAATCATACACACCCTTTCAAAATGTGGCTTATTGTCACCATTTGTCAATTTTTTCCCAAATGTTTTCCCAGGTACCCTTGACCAATTAATCTCTCTTTGGCTTTGACTTCATTCTTGCTACTTTTGTCGGGGGGGGGGAAATCACTCATTTTTCAACTCTTTCCTTCACAGGCCATAAATAAATTGCACAGCCACTTCAAGAACAACATGTGAATATTGGTAGGCTATCAAATCTTTATTTTGGGATATTGCAGTGCATGCAATTGTAACCATTTACAAATTAACCACTAGATGGTGATGCATAATTCTGTAATATAAAGTATGATTATACAGCTAATTTCTCTCTATAATATATTAGGATTTTTATGAGGCCAAACTTTTTCTGGTGGTGGTGATGATGATGATGATGATGATGATGATGATGATGATGATGATGATGATGATGATGATGATGATGATGATGATGGCGGCGGTGGTGATGGTGATGATGGTGACAATGATGGTGACCACAATGAAGATGAAGATGATGACGATGATAACAATGACGATGATGACAAAGATGATGATGATGATGAGACAATGATGATGATGACGATAACAACAATGACAATGACAAAGATGATGATGATGATGATGATGATGATGACAAGGATGATGATGATGATCACAGTATAGAAAAAAGAACGATCAATCATCTTCACCCTCATCGTCAAATTCTAAAGGCTTTCTTAAATGTTATAGCTGGTCCCACTATCAAAACTGGCTCCTAAGAATTATGGAAAACTTCCCGGTCTCTACATTTCTGCTTTTGTACATTCCTTTTAGAAGGAATTGTTCACATGATTCTGACCTTATTCAGCTCTCCTATTTGTGGGGAAAATCAGCAACCAGCCAAAATATTGCCTCACTGATTAATTGAGTGAATTGGGTGGCATGGAAGGTGCAAAATATTTATGGAAGGTGGGAAAGAAATGTGCTATTCAATGTCTCCACACTTCCTCCATGGTTGTTCACAAGGCCTGTAGCTACAATAACAGAACAGTGACTTAAAGTTCAGGGTCAAATTGGTGTAGAATAGATTCAAACAGACCACCCACGTCCTAGTCCAACACTCTTTCACAGGAATATGCAGACTTTCAGAATAACAGAATAATAGAGTTGGAAGGGACTTGGAGGGTTCTAGTCCAACCCCATGCTCAAGCAGGAGATCCTATACCATTTCAGACTAGTGGCTGTCCAGTATCTTCTTAAAAGCCTCCAGTGATGGAACACCCACAACTTCTGAAGGCAAGCTGTTCCACTGGTTAATTGTTCTCACTGTTAGGAAATTTCTCCTTAGTTCTATGTTGCTTCTCTCCTTGATTAGTTTCCATCCATTGTTTCTTGTCCTGCCTTCTGGTGCTTTGGAAAATAGACTGACCCCCCTTTTTATTCTTTGTGGCAACCCCTCAAATATTGGAACACTGCTATCATGTTACCCATAGTCCTTCTTTTCACTAGACTAGCCATACCCAGTTCCTGCCACCATTCTTCATATATTTTAGCCTCCAACATAATCTTTGTTGCTCTTTACCGCACTCTTTCCAGAGTCTCAACACTTTTTTATATAATATGGTGATCAGACTGGATGCAGTACTCTAAGTGTGGTCTTATTAAGGCTTTATAAAGCAGGACTAATACTTCACATGATCTTGATTGTATCCCTATATTAAATCTAGGATTGGGTTGGCTTTTTTGACTGCTGATGCACCCTGCTGGCTCATATTTAAATGATTGTCCACTAAAATATCAGTCAGCAGTGTGTTAGCTTTCGTCAGCTAACTGATGCGGGACAGCTAGAAACAATACGGCCAACTGGGGCAGGCAGACCGGTAACTCGGTCCATGAGCAGAGTGCAAAACCGGCCGGCTTTATAAGCAAGCTCCCAAAACACCGGCATTTTACTCTGACGACGTTGGCAGTTAGCCAATGAAAGTTAAGTGTATTAAAACAGTTTTGTTTGTATTTTATCCAGATGTTCGATTATCTTCTTGAATATGAGTATACCTGGGATTCGTATTTTTAGCGTAATTAAGGACAAATATATATATATATAAACAATGACAATTATTAATGACAAGACATAAATAATGAAACAAAACAAAACAGAAATGAATAAAGGTAGGCTGAAATGAATGGAAATAAATTTGACCATGCTAAAAATAAACCGTCCTCAAGTTTGTGTTAAAATTAATAGGATACACCTTATTGTATTTTTGCATTTGATGTTAACACTACTTCCCGGTGTTAGCTGTGTGGAAATACCTGCAGCTCTTCAGAAAGTTGTGATAGTGTCTGTTCCACAGCAAGATCTTCTAAAAAAAAAAAAGAAGAAGAAGAATAGGAAGGTTGATTATCTGAGACAAAAACAATGAACGGAAACACAAGAAAGAGGGGGGGGCAATGGTCAAATCTTGGCAAAGCACAATTAGGGAATCAGAGAAACCATGAGATTCTTCACATATAAAATCGTGCAAATGAGAAATTTATTCGTTCTCTCTTTTTTTTTCCCAACAGCAAAGTAGATGCACTTGGCTGATCACAAAAGGTTAAGTAGGTTCTGACTTATTTAGTCAGAAACAAACAAATCCCAAGACGGGAAAAAAAATAATGGCAAACTGCTTCCATGTTGTTCCCAAGGAAACCACACAGAGAACAAAGAAAACTTGGTCTGTGGGGAATCTTCATTTTTATCATTTGCTTAAACCAGGGATCTTCAAACTTGGCACGCTGGCTGAGGAATTCTGGGAGTTGACGTCCACAAAAGGGCCAAGTTCGAAGACCCCTGGCTTAAACTTTAAAATGTGGTTATAAAATACACCCTTAAGCAATAGCATGGTGCCTTAGAAGTGGATTTCCTGCTTCAAAATCAGAACGCGGGCGGCCAGAGAGAGAGGGGGGGGATGTAATCACCAAAGTTGAAATACTTGATATTCAGATGACATACTTTGGTTTAGATCAGACAGCTTCTTAACAATTGCCAAATAAGATTTTCAAAATGTTGTCTTTGAGAAATGCACAACTCCCGCATAATTAAGAGTAGAACTGAAGGTCGTTTTTCACAGGAACACTTGAAACAATATGAATTACCTCTGATAGAAGTAAAGGAAATGTCTTCAAAAATTTAATATTGAAAGAGAAATTTAAAATTGAATTTACTGCAGTGGAAACTTACTGCCTGGACAAGCAAGCTTACCAAAAACTATAATAGATGGGAAACAGGAAAGGAGAGCATAAAGAATGTAAGAGAAACACATAGGCAAAAATTATCTGGGTCTTCAGAATGGGAAAAGGAACTGTAAGAGAAGATACAGTAACTAGCAAAACAGGAAAGAACCTATTTTTCTAAGAAGGCATAAAAAAGGGGGGCCAGAACTCAGGCAACTGAGCATGTGCAATTAGTTGATTAATATTAACTGACACACCTTGCATAAATTATCTCTTAATTTTAATGTACATGTGATGTATGATTTAGTATGTAGCAGGAAATATGTAGGAGGCGGTCGGAAAGAGTGTAACCTCATAGTACCTCAGCCAATGGGGAAAGAGGAGGGATGTGGTGGCCGGGACAGGACTGTATAAAGAAGGGAATATTTTGGGTTGAAACTTTGGAGAGAACCAAGCTTTGATAGCTTCTCTCCCCGCTTATCGCAATAAACGAAATAAAAGGCCTTCACTGTGTCTTGGCTGGTTATTGGTCAGGTGAGCTGGCCTTTGGTCATGAAGGAAAGTGGCCAGGAACACATAAAACCTCCGTTAATTGTTCTACCTATAAGCAATTGGGGAATGGCCCAAAAAATTGAGCAGAAACAAAATCTCCTCCTTAACATAGAATCTGTAATCTCTTTACCTGATATCTCCTATTATCATAGATGCCTTGATATGGAGAAACCTATCTGTTTACTCCAGGATAATAATTTAGGACTTTGGTAATTAATTTATTCAATTATTCACTTTCAAAGAGAGAGTACAACAACTTCAGTTAGCAATGGTTGAGGCTGGCAGAAGAGCAAAAATCAGAACTTTGTATCTCCCTTGACATCCAAAGTGGTAAAAGAGAAGGTGGTGGTGGTGGTGGTGGTTGTGGTGGTGGTGGTGGAGGAGGAGGAGGAGGAGGAGGAGGAGGAG